ATTAATTATTTTGACGCTGGGTTTCAATTGTTCTCACTGTGTGCAAAACAAATATAAACTAAAATCGATCTGTATTACAATAAATGGATTTACGGTAACATAAAAAGTCACACATTGAATTTTCAGTATCATTTTGTAAACCTTAAGTAAATTCATTATGGCGATTTGTCAACGAAATAAAGTCTTCTAGATACAGTATATATTGAAAAAAAATTAAAATTAAAATGAGTCACAAATATTGGCAAAACCATTATATCTGGACGCCTAATCACTGGATTTGCATTCGATTTAGAAATCCCAAGTACTACCAAAAATTTGCTAATGTTCCATATGGAATTGGTGCAGATATCAGAAAAAAAATTTTTTTTTTAAGTGACAAACTCTGATTTATATTTAATTATATTTGAACCACACAATCGTTTTTAATGACTTCATTAAAACGATTTCAATTAATTATTTACAAGCTATTTTGACGCTTTGTTTCAAATTGTTACCCCTGTATGCAAAACAAATATAAACTGAAATCGATTCGTATTACATTAAATGGATTCGCGGTTACATAAAAATTGACTTATTGAATTTTCAGTATCATTCTGTAAACCCTAAGTAAACTCATTACGGCAATTTTGTCATCGAAAGAAAGTCTCGCAGATACTGTTTTCGTTGAGCTGGGATTTTCGGCGAAGCCCCAATCTAAATATCTTATACCGTCGGCGTTGGGAAACAATACCGGATTTATTGTAACAGAATCGGTGTTGAATTTATATCGACATTCTGGTACATGAGACACCTTTGAGGGAGACATTAACTCATACACTGAGAATTCTAGATCAGCCCAATTGTTTTGCTATAACGGTCTTAGGGTTTCAATTCAACACCATGAAAGTTCACCATCATTATCTCAAAATCAAGAAAAGTATATAATTTTTTAATGGCACTACTTTAAAGTAAAAGGTAAAAGATGTGTAACCAGCCATCACCTTTATTCTTACGACAATGTTATCAGGAGATAAACGAATTTTTCTTTTTAATCTTTATTTTTTTGTCAATCAAACCTCAGAGTCTTATAATACAAAACTGTTAGAATAGGTAATAAAAAAAACAATCAAATATAGTATTCAATATAAATAATAAGTAACAAAAATTAAGAAACTAAAGGAAAATAATAAAATGAAGTAAAAAATAAAAAATATAAATGAAATAATTATCTTGGTGACAGGTGTTGCCAACTAAGTTAAACGGAAATGTATCGATATTCATACAAAAAAGTAATTTTTTGATATAAAAATTAAAAAATAATGAATAAAACCAAATTCAATTACAAAAAAACTATTTTACAAAAAATAAATTAACGGTTATTCCAACTATGCCTTCTTACTCCACCCACGAGTCAAAAAGGGTCAGAGTACAAATTTTAGAAAAATAGTAGAAAAAAACGTATTTCAATAATGAGGAATTAACTGGGAAGTTTACTGAACATAGTTCGATATTTGTTTCTCATGTTATGTGTTGCCATGTAATTCATTTAGTTTGGACAGTATAATTACTGAAAGTCAAATTGGACCTTTGTGCCCCGCTCTACTCTATTTAAATTTTATTTTTATTATTTTATTATATTTTATATCAAGAATGCAAACTTAGTAATAACTCACATGCAATAGAGTAAATTCATAAAACATTTTTTTTCAAATTGTGTAGTGCATTTTTCTCTGCTAAATAATAAGACATTTTGTTCTCAAATGTTTTAATTTTTTTTAAATAAATTTGTAACCAATTTTCTTAAATAATTAAATATTATTTATTATTAAAATTGTATTTTTCTACCTACTCTATGGGGCACAAAATATAATGTATTATTAAAGCAGATTAAAATTTAATAATTACTGTTACAGAAATATTTTGTTATTTACAGTTTCTGTTAATCGAAATAATTACACAAAAATTTATTATATATATTATACCAGATATCATTCAAAGATATAAAATATATCAAATTACCGAACCTCATGTATATTAATCAGATAGTTACAAATATAAACGAAATAAATTCACATTTCGATATTCGTATTACATTTTTATTTCTGGTTGATATTTCGAAGTTGTACTGGCACTTTGTTATGAAATATTATAAATTATTTAAACTTGTTTAAATTTTTCACATGTTTGTAGTAGATAAACGTTATAAATGTTATGAAAGAATAATCAATTTGTAATCAAAGTTTTTTTAGCCATTATAATTAAAGTTGATAAATTCTTCATAGTACAGTGTGTCGATAAATGTATTTATTAGAGTTTTAGGGCGTAATTTTGCATAAGAAGTAGTAAAGTAAATTTTTAATATTTTGGTCTATAGAAGGTTTTTTGTACATCGATTTTTCTCAAAAGAAAAATCGTATCTTATATGAATTCCATTAATGGTTGAGGGTGAAAATCGTTTTTACTTAAGTTAGACATGGTAAACATAGACATAGCCATCTAATGCAAACAATTTGCAATTAGGTCGTAAGACGTCAGAAATTATATATCGATGAACAACGTGATTAGAAATTTTGCATGCATTCTATTTATAATTTTTAAACAAAAATGTTCGAATTTTGAATAGAGATACATTTATAATTTAATATCACACATATATATTTTATTATTCTTGTGCATTCCTGTATTTGAATTTCAAACATGACTAGATATTTCATAAAATGATTTTTAAAATAATACATGTTATTTTTTTGAAACTAGAGCAACTTAAAAATGCTGGATTTGTCAGATAATTTCTTAACATTAAAAAAATTTTTTTTAGTATTGTTTTTGCTCAAGCTATTAAATTAAAACGAGACTCTATATTAAATACAAATTAGTAACCATTTACAAAACTCTAAAAAACGTTCAAAAATTCTATTCCAATAATTAAATTTTATTCTTTACTATGCATTTAACTTTGTATAATTTCAAACCAGAATACATTTGATTTTCTTTATCGCCATGTCAGGCATATATGCCTGACAAAAAAAAATAGAATTTTTTAATGATCATTTTATAATATTGTCAAAATGCTATGTAGTTGCTGTGCAGTCAGGCGTTTCACTGCCAAAATATATTATTTGATAAATGAATCTTTGTGATGTGGCATAATAACATATGAACGAAGTTACATTTTATGTGTAACCGGCTGACTACAGTGCAAATACATAAAATTTTGACAGTTTTTAGTACCATTTTATATGAAAAGCGCTACGTAAAATACAGCCTTGCCATAACATTGGTCTATTTTACGGCAGAATCGGCCCCGTAGTCAATATTTTTATAGCCTTATATAATAAATGTTTAAAATCTATTTCTATAAAATATGTAATGCTCCAATATTTGCCACATTAAAATACAACATACTAATTTGAATTTTATCATGATGTAGGTTTAGTGCCCCATAAGTCTTCTTTCATATAAGCTCCGAATATGCTGCAGTTGGTCGTTAAATTTAATTTAGATAGTTGTAATAAATACAAGTTTGTTCGTTATCTCTCTATCGCAGATATATGATTAATAATTTTAGTTTGATTTATAGTGATGTATTGTCATTGTCTTCCTAACGAACGCATCGGTTTGTCCTGTGCAATTGCAACATAAACAAGCCAGAGAGTTTCCGTACACCTGGACTGGCATTGTGAACATTTAATTTCATCACTAGTTTTAACAAAATTATTAGTTACCAACTATATGCACAAAGTTATTTTGTGAATGCAATTGTTAATAAAAATATACTTTTTATAATTATTGGCTATATACTTTTGAATAATTAAATTTTAATATAATAATAATAATAATTTTAATAGAATACTTAATATTTCAATAATTTTCCAAAAGTAGTAATTTAAATTATTTTTCAAAATGTATAAAAACATTCGATTTATAATTTTGTTTAATAAGTGTCTAGGTCTTGATCCCTAAAATTGTGCGTTGATATCCGCTGTATGTACAACCTCACATCAAGAAATACAGATTCAGCAATTTCAAGGTCACCATATTTTCCTTATGTAAAATAATAGGATTATTGATATTAAAAGTATAGTTTAAACTAAAAATATGTTCCGAAAACATAGTCTTATATTGATTAGGATTTTTTTTATTACAAAAATATTTCAAGAATATATAAATATATATATATATATATATATATATATATATATATATATATATATATGACATGTAAACATTGTGCGTATATATTGATTATATAAATTACTAATCATTGCATTAAGATGAACCTCATGACGGCGGTAGTAAAATATGCAAAGCAGATAATGTTTTAGGACCAGCTAAGGTTGAGTGCGTTTACATTAAGTTTGAGGTCGCATCAGTAACCACAAGAGTTCCAGGAACAATGATGTTTCAGTGCCTTCGAACTATTTGTTTAGGTTAGCACTGATCGTCCTGCATGTAAAAGTTAAATGAATAAAGTTTTCGTAAACAATTTGCCGTAGTAACAAGCTTCATGAAATGAACGCAAAAGCAGTTTGATAAAAATGCGATGAAATGTTACCTGTTGGGATTAGACCATAGATATTACACTATATGGACTGTTAAGTCCTCATATGTTTTCCGTTGTATATAGTGCTCAAACATAGAAGGGTATGTGATGTCACATGTCTGAGCAAACATTGTCGACGACAATCGCGGACTCTCCCGATTTATCAAATGTTATATGCCATATGTTTTATTTCAATAATATAATGGCAATTATTATCAGCCATCAAAATTGCCATTAAATTATTGAAATAAAACATATGGCATATGGCATTTGATCACTCGGGAGAGTCCGCGATTGTCGTCGGCAATGTTTAATCAGACATGTGACGTCATATATCCTTCTATGTTTGAGCACATATTTGGTATTCGACTAGCAGTCCATATAATATAAGGTCTATGGATTAGATATATAAAAAATTAGAATAAAACACAGAATATAATTCCATTGTTTATTTACGGGTATTTAAAAAAAGTAGGTGTCACAAGCAGCTTAAAGATTGAATTCTCATACATTTAAAAAATGAATATTATAGTATTGTGTTTTCAAGATCAAGTTTTACAGAGATATGTTTTTCCAAACTATAAGGATGTATTCTAAAAGGCAGCTATTTTATGTCATATCCGTAATCAATTTCCGAAAACAACTGATCAATCATTGAAAGTAAGTTATGTTCGCTATGTTGTTTCGGAAAATTAGTGTTCTTGAATATGACCGTAGCATCTTCCCCAATTGAATCGATAGGTTTCGAAATTTCCTCCGAATTGTGCCCCGAACAACACGCACCCTGATCCTCCAGATATGCTTCGTTCATCAACTCAATCATTTCTTTGTCTAGCATGCGAATCTGTTGTTCTGCGGCATCTAAGTCCACCTCACACTCGGCTCTGAGTTTTTTATCGTCATCTAAGGATGTATAATCAACTTGAGGTTCAGCGTCATAACAATCTGTATTCATTTCTGCTTGTGTGTTAACATGGCTACTGTTGGGCATCGTGTTCGCAAAGTCTTCCGACTCTGTATGGTTTGTGAACGAATGTAATGTCTGTCTGTAAACATTATTACTTATGCGACGATGCCCAATGAGAGCTTCATACATTTGGAGCCATTCCTCGTTAGGCATTTTTAGATTGTTAGCGTCCCCCCGTCTCATACTTTCACGTCTGCGAACCGAACCGTTCATACTCAAATGGCTGCTATGATTGTGTTCTTGCAGGCTATGCCTGTTGCCATTATCTATTAAACTGCTGCCGGTTGTAACAGGTTTAAGATTACTACTGTGGATCTCATTAAGAAGGTAAGTTGGTATTGCCTTCTTCCTGAAACTGGCAAAATTTTCCTTGTGTTGTATGGATAGGCTAGAGTCATCTCTAGGTAACCCTTGTATTCGAGATGTGTGCAATGAAGGCGACTGGTGTAACGGTACTAAATGTTGACATTCGGTATCAACCGACTTTAGCAGTTTACAAGTATGCGGTCTAATTTTTTTACTTCCTTTAGACTTTCTCAGGGCTAAGCAGGCCATGTTAATCGGAGGCGACTTCATAAAAACTCGCCCAGTGGAGCCGTGGGGAAACATATTTGTTCCAGAAGATTTCTTTAAATAACCAGAATTCGTTGATTCTAATGGTTCAGCAATAGTGGATACATCCTTTCTTAACGCTGAATTTTTTATCGTAGGCGATGACGATGTGACGCCATCTTGTTTGGCAGTAGAATTTCTTCGTAAAAATGAATGCATTTTTCTTGATCGTAGAGGTACAGTAACTTGCTGCAAAAAGCAATTTGTTAAAGTATCGAAAAATATATAGCAAGCATTACAGAATTAAATGAAAATATAAAAAATTGGGTTATATTACATCTCAGTGGCGTAACTATAGGATGGCGTGGGTGGCAAAATGCCACGAGCCCCCGACCTAAGCGGGCCCAGGCCCAGGAAACCGCGGACTCAGAAATACATTTTTACATTGTACATAAATTTTATTTCACTTGAAACTTATATTTTTTAAGTTCAAAGTTGGAGTTAATTATTCAACCAGGCTTGCATCGAACTTACATTCGGCCGAATATTTAGTTAGTTAAAACCAAAGGAGTCGCCGCCGCACAGCGAAAGTATTGTGTTTTATCTTTTATGCGATAAAGAGCTGTGATAGATCTGCATTGGAAAATCTTTAGTTTATATAATATGATATCAAGAACAAATTAATGAATTTATTGTTGTATATATAATCATTTATAGTTTATTGACTTTGAAGATAAAAAACAAACACGTGAACAACTCTTTTCTCAATATCAGAATTCAAAGAATACATTGTTGTTATAGTTAGATGTCATTTGATTTTAATCATTTAACGGCTACGTGCATGAGTTGTATGAATATACAATGAAGTCATTCATTTTTCTACTACTATCGACGCAGCTTGTATAGCTAAAGCGCTATACAATTTTATCGAGTATTGGACATTATTATTAAACAAATTAAATCTTGTTTCTTCCGATGAAATAATATGTTCCAAATATCAGTATTTTGCTACAATAGAAGTTTTCAACTATACTGATCTATTAATTAAAAACTCTAAAATTTGTTTAGATAAAAAAGACATATCAGAAATTCAGAATAAACAAAATTTTAAAATCATAATTTAATAGATCAGTACTATAAAAAAACTTTTGTTCAGATTCTGAACTATTTGCCATGGAAATTTAGTTTTCGATCAACTTTTACGCAACTGAAAGCAGTAAGAAAAGATATTATTTACTAAATAGCTTATTGAACATTTTATTTCATTTTGAATATGTGCAGGGTTAACTATTGTTTCTTCAAGAAGAAGCTAGATGACAAATGTCTTCATATTCGTTAAAAAAAATCGTACAAAAGGTATTGAAATGGATTGGATTGCCGAGAAAATGAATACTTTTCAATACTGTTTTCAATCAGAGGTATTGCTTAAATCATACATTTTCATAAAGATTGAACGTCACTACTTAATCAATAAAATTAATTACAGTAAAAAAGAAATTGTTAATGAAAGGTTATGTAATAATTAAATTTAAGAAAGTGTTTTTTTTAATTTTTATTAAAAAAGAAAACGTTTTATTTTAATTTCCATTTATTCTAACGTTGAAAATATTCACCAAAATTTCATGATTGATTTTCAAGAAAAATAACGTTTTATGTATTTTTTGTTATTTTTATATAATTGCAACTAAATTATAATTATAACTCTAAATCAATGCTTTACTTTTTTACCTTTTGTATAATATCATAATTTAAAGCCATAAAATATAAATTAGTCGAAGTTTGTTTGCTAATTGTGATAAAATTCATTAAAAATTGTTTTAACCAGTAGTATTAACGTTCATTAAACAAAATTACATAAATTTAAAATTGAGTACCAAGACAGGGCCCCATCGGAAAACTTTGACACGGGCCCCGGAGGGTCTAGTTACGCCACTGTTACATCTATTATATATATATATATATTAATTTATCGTATAAAACTTATTAAAATTACATACCTTGATAAAGATGAAAACACAGAACTATTATATTACACTAAATGATGGTTTATTTACTTTAACTAACGGAAAATTTGGAAAAATGTGAACTGATGTGTGGGCCGGTGTTTATGTGTTGAAGGAACAAAGTGGAATGAGCTCCAAGCCACAAACAAACGTACAAGATGGCTACGTCTACTACCAACGTAAGAAAAAAAAATAGGGATAAAAATATTGAGCATAAAACAGTTTATGATTTTAACTTTATAATTGTAAAAATGTATTTATATTATTTAGTATAATACAATAATATAATGCAATATATATACAATAGAATTTCAATATTTATAGAATTCGCGATTTAAAATTTTTCATACTTGCATATAATGATTAATCATTGGTGAAACATGGGTTGAACGCAAAGCATAACTCATAGATAAAGAAAGAGCATCGACATACGTACCGTATAAAAAAGAGCACAGACATACGTATCCGGACTGAAGTTAGTGCGTTTGAGATCGTAGTGTTACAAAAAGTGATTTAGCATTTATATATATTATGCTTATTTATCTATGTATATTATATTATATATATATATATATATATATATGTATATGTATTATGTATTCATACTCCGTATCCTTGATAACGAGCAACTAAAAGTTTTATAATTATAGATTGGCGGTTACTTCGAATCAGGCAAGCCGCGAAATATGAATTGAATTAGGAAGCCGAGAGTAATAAATCAAAAACTTTTCGAACATTCATTGTAGATCGTTGAAACTAACAAACGGTCCTAGGTCTGATTAATTATGTGCATACTTAACTATTTTCAATTTCGACGTAAAACCCTGCCCATGTAGTATAAAATTTACGATTAAAATTATGTACTATGATACAAAGTGACGGGTTGTAAATTTATAGTAAATTTTCTTTTGAACTTTATTGTATCAAAGAATTAAGTACTTTAGGATATTGTTAATAGTTTATATAGTAATTTTAGTCACTAGTAACTTAGTTGATGATATAAATAATTTTCTATAGTAATTTTATACTGTAAAATTTACTTTGCAATTAATATTTTAAACAACTTATAATGCATGCATTTGTATTAATTAAATTCAAATTATTTAATACATTTATTTAATTACATTTTACTTTGTGTTCTAAAAATGTTATTATTTAAGTGTGAACGTCAACGATGATCAGTATGTTGAACATGGAGTGGCACAAATGCCGAATTTTATTGAATTTTTATAATTAAACTAATTTTTGTAGGCTTATTATATTTTATAATGTTCGTTCAGAAGACCATAAACTATAGAACAATGAAAATATTTAATTTAATTAAAATTTGTATAAAAATTATGAACTAGATGTAAATGGCATTTTGCCTAAAGGCAAGTTGCCAATACGTATAAATAAAAAATATAATATATAAATAAAAATGTAATTGAGATTTTTCAAAATTATAGTATCTATAATTACATTAATAATTAATTAAACTTAATTTATTTTATACGCTTCACTCTATTTGGCCTATTTGGTATTTTCAAAATATATGCTATTCAAGTGTTATTTCTGTAATGTATTTTATTCAGTATGTATTGTATTCAAATTTTTATTCAAGTATTATTTTTTATAATTAAACCATTTTTTGTAGACCAATAATATTTTAAGATGCTCTTTTAGACTATAAACTCTATAACTTTGCAAAGTTTTATTAAATTCGTCGAAAGACACGAACAATTGATTATTATAAATAAACTAATCATCATAATTTCGTATTAATAAATTTTTAATAGTTTTCAAAATCTGTTCAGGATTATTGGTAAAAACGTTGTAAAAAACTTTAGCATTTATCTAATAAAAAATCGAATACCATAATTAGTATCAATAGCTATTATATTTTATGAAAAACACTGAGAAAACACAGTAAGAAAAAGGAATGATCGGACAAAAACATTAACTTTTCCTTCGAAAGTATTTACTAATAATATTTAAGTTAAGCAGTTAAAAATTGAATATGGAAAGTATGCATATACTTTGAAAAATTTCAATAAATCATCAATAAAATTATGATGTCTCATAGCACAATTTTCTACTATATGAAACGGATTAAGTAGCATAAATTTTGTCAGTTACAGCTCTATAATAAAGGAATTAAATTTTATTTTCATTTGCACATAATACCGAACTCAAATATCTATCAACGCGGACACACTAAAGTTTATTGCTGTGAGATAATACAGAAAAAGCAATAAAGAAAAACATATCGGACTGGATTACTGGTCGCCGAATTTTTATTATATTTCCGTGGACATATTTTTCTTTTTTATCGATGTGAAAAATTGAATGCGCCCAAATAACGGGTGGACGGATGCCTGATCGAACGTCTCTCACAAAGTAAAAGGAGTCTCTGTATTATTCTTCACTAATATGCATGGCAGGAATCATTCTAGTGTTACAGATAAATCGGAACACATGGTAAAAGAAATATGGGTTAAATATTAGCTTGGAGAAAAATAAATGTTTTATTTTTCATAATTTTTTGCGCGAATTTTAGTTTAATATTTGCTCCTTGAATGAAAAATACTAGGTATCGAAATACCATCTTTTTTATCAAAAAATCTGAAAATCGTGCAGTTTTTACTGCAGCACTTCAATGACAATATTTTATATATATATATATATATATATATATATATATATTATTAATAGTTTATATAGTAATTTTAGTCACAAATGTTATACTGTAAAATTTACTATGCAATTAATATTTTAAACAACTTATAATGCAAGCATGCATTTGTATTAATTAAATTCAAATTATTTAATACATTTATTTAATTATATATTACTTTGTGTTCTGAAAATGTAATTATTTAAGTGTGAACGTCAACGGTGATCAGTACGTTGAACATGTACGCACACATTTTACATACTTTTTACTACACAACTCCAAGCGGACAACATGCCTCGTTTGGAAAAAGTTTTTTCATAATAAAATGTATTATTTATCTTTATTTTAATTTTACAATTGTTTAAAATTTGTCATATGACTCGACGTTTATCAATTTGTGTTTCATAATTTTTTCGTGCAGTTTTCGTTGTGCTTTTGTTTTTTTTTCAATTTATTTGTATGATGAGTTTTTTACATTTGTTTATGTCAATTTTTGTATTTTCACTTTTATATACTTTCACAATATATATTTGTTATAAAACAAATTTATTAATTTGATTAGATTTATGCTTTTTTACATGTTTTTTTTTATATTTTTCTGTAATTGTGTATTTTTTATATTGTTTTAAATCGTCCCTCTGAAATATTTTAATGTAGCACTAAAGATGAATCAAATCAAGACCCGAAACGTATGTTTTCATAGTAAAAACATTTTTCTTCAATAAAACTGTTTTTAATTACTGGATGGATTAACAAGAACAACTTTATCATATATATATATTTATATATTTTAAATTAGAAATATGAACAAACAGCACTCTTTTTGCACTAATTTATTAAGTAATATTAATTTTACAAACGTTCCGAGACTAGGTTTGTCTCATTGTATAGATATATTTAACTATAATAATTTAAAACATTTTTTTTAAAACAAACCGTTTTCTATCGTATGACTCACCAAATTGACCCTCAGTCGTTCAGAAGTTTTCAGTCGACTACAGATCGTAAGGCACGTGCATTTAGTTTTTAACAATTTTTTAAAAACAAACCGATTTCTATCAAAAAAATATTATTTAATCCCCTAGCGACATCTATTTTTCAACTGGACCCTATTCTTTTTCATTCCTATTTGACATTGTATGACTCACCAAGTTGACCTTGGTGATCCTTCAGTCGACTACAGCTCGTAAGGCACGTGCATTTAGTAAAGAACAACAAGTTGGAAGAGTTAACACATAATGTTATTTTAAATATACCTACATATTTTAAATTTTAAATTATAATACACCGATGATGAGACAAACCTAGACAAACAAAGTCTGGAAACGTTTGTAAAATTAATATTATTTAATAAATTAGTGCAAAAAGAGTGCTGTTTGCTCAGATTTCTAATTTAATATATATATATATATATATATATATATATATATATATATAGATATATGGTATCCCAGAACTCGACGTCATGCCGCCCGCCATCTACTATGTTGGGGTTGTAGTACTGATAGTAAATGTGATGGAAAAAAAAATTAGAAAAAAAAGTTTTCCATGTAGTTGGAAAATTATGAGCTTTTAAGTGCAACATAGAGTCTAGGTGAAACTGTTACCATTTTTTTGGCTATTGTGGTTGTATTGTGGTTGATTTCTATTATAATTGTTATTTTAAACTTTGCAACTTCAACCTTATATAATATTGCTAGACCATAGTCGAAAATAATGACAAATTGCCTCAGGTTTTTGAAAGTTAAGACTATTTGTTGAACTATGAATTTAAAATTTTCAACATTGGTCGACTTTAACAGGTCATTCTAAAGAAATGTACCAAAACTTGTTGGCAAATATTGGTGCATTCAATCAGAATTGTAAATGGTAAAATACTTGATAGTTTTATAATAAAAACATTTTAGAATAAATAAAAACCTGAAAATAATCTAGTATTTATCTCGAGAAGATAACCTAGCAATCAACCACTCTTAAAATTATAATTTAACCCAAAACTTTTGGGCACTTAAGACTAAGACTAATAAGAAATCTGCATCGTATCGATATTTAAGATAATTTTTATAGAATACTCCTCAGTCGTATTTTTTATTATGTAAAGTAGAAGTAATACTGCTTGTTACTTTAACTCAAGAGCTTCTACCCGACGTCATTCATACTAATACAAATTTTCATATAACATCATTTGTATCAAGCACAACAACTAATGCTATGTTAAGTACATTGAATAAATCAGTTTAATATTGTCACTTGAAAATTTATTTAATAGATGGCAATATGTTTCCTAGTTAAAAAACCCTTACCCAGTAGTGATGCACCAATTGAAAATTTATCAGTAATACAGAAGTTGTAATAATACATTAGTCAAATAAATTAGAGATAGAACAATCGTTTGAGTTGTCATCTGCAAAAAGGCACGTTGTTTAAGAAATCAGC